ACTCAAAATATGCATAGTCTTAAATACAGTAATTTTACTTTGTATCTATTTCACAAAATACTGACACATGACTAGGAATGTTGATTAGCTCTGTTAAAACAATAATGGTGTATGTCTACGTTTTATACATTTTTTCAAAAAACAGTTAAAAAGAATTAAGACAATTCACAAATAATGTTAAGGTCCCCAAGATGTATAAATGAATAAAACCAATTACAGAATAATTATATTGTATTCAAACTTTAAGAAACTATATATTTTATATGGAGTTAAATCGCAGAGAAAGATAAAAGTTTCCAAAGGCTGCACATTGCTGATTTTATTTTTATTTCTGTTTTTATTTTTGAGATGGGGTTTTGTCATTCTGTCTAGGCTGGTCCCAAATTCCTGGGCTCATGCAATCTGCCTGCCTCAGCCTCCCAAAGCACTAGGATTATAGGTGTGAGCCACCGCACCTGGCCTGCACACACACTGACAGTGATTATTGCTGAGGATTATGGGAGCCACAGAAACGGAACTTCCTTTTTTGTGTAATTCAAAACGTTATTCTTAGTTTTCACTATAAAAATTTTATTCCAGTTTTATGCATAAAATAAAGATTTGAAAATAACTAGTATTATATTTATAATTACAATGTTCTATTAAAGCTAGGGGATTTATATCCTTACTAACAGAAATACAGCACGTAAAATTTATGTAGTCTAGGTAAACAGAAAATGTCACTATTTTTTTTTTTTTTTTTTGAGCCAGAGTTTCACTCGTTACCCAGGCTGGAGTGCAATGGCACGATCTTGGCTCACCGCAATCACCGCCTCCTGGGTTCAGGCAATTCTCCTGCCTCAGCCTCCCGAGTAGCTGGGATTACAGGCACGTGCCACCATGCCCAGCTAATTTTTTGTATTTTTTTAGTAGAGACGGGGTTTCACCATGTTGACCAGGATGGTCTTGATCTCTTGACCTCATGATCTACCCGTCTTGGCATCCCAAAAATGTCACTATTAAAAGAGTAGGGTTCATTGAAAGTGATAGGGAAATTTTGAGTCAATTAATTTAGATAAATAATACCATGCATTTACTCCATCACTTCCAAGAGAGAAAGAAAAGCCAAGAGACCATGTGGACAGGAAGGTAGGGCCTGGGGGAGGAAGGGGTAGGAAGTTTTGGGGGTTGGGTAAGGAATCGGGGGAAATGGGTAGAAAAAGTGGCCGAGGGAGAGGGGATGAAGAAGGAGATTGGAGAAGGAGAGGGAAGAGATGAGAGATGGAACTGTGTTTTGGTTAGAGATTCAGATAAGAACCAAGACATCTCAGGAGTGTTCCCAAGGAATGTTCAAATGCTCTGCCTTCCAGATGCAGGTGCTGATCTATTTCGGGAACTCTGTGGACATACTTAGCAGTCTAAATCTAGATTCCAGGTTGAATTCCCACACTCGGTTCACCCAGGTCTGGCCTCCAGCAGCAGGACCAGAAGCAGCAGTGGCAAGGAAAGGCAGAAGCAGCAGCCAGCTGGGCACCCCTCTTCATTGAAGAAGTGGCCCCCAAGTGGCTCTGCAGGCCCAGGCCCCTCTTCCTTCCATTCAGAAAAACACACAGCAGTTAACTGCATCTGCACGTGCATCTGAGAAGGTAAACGTACTTCATTTCCTGTTCATTGAGGGACAAAGGTACGTGGCCTTTTGACTCTTTTTTGGGGGTCTACAATGAAAAAGGAGGGGAGAGCAGAAAATGGGTCACTTTACCTTGTCCATTCTATGTTCCCACAAGGCCCTACCCTTAGTGAACTGAGGGATCTGTGGGGATCACTCCCGTGTGAGGCCCCTAGGAAATGGGCCTCACCATACGGTGAGCTTCGGCCTGGACACAGATCTCCGGTTGGGGGAGTCGAGCTGAGGGAAAGCAGGAGCTGAGAGAGGGACTATGCTATTCAAAATAATTAACAGACATTACTTTATGGATATGAGGACTTGGGAGGCATTGTGTGCACTTTCGGCTCCTTATGGTTTATTGCTTGATTGTGTTCATTTTGGACCCTTGTTACCTTCATTGTAAAATATTAACTTAAGTATTTACACTTGGTAACTTACTTACCATAACTTACTGGGTGTAACTGTAACTTACCATAACTTACTGGAACTTAAGTATTTACAATTGTTAAGTACTTACTGGGGGTAACTTACTTGCTGGGTGTAACTTACTTGCCTTGACTTACTGGGCGTAACTGACTTACTGGGCTTAACTTACTTACTGGGCGTAACTTAGTGGGCGTAACTTGCTTACTGTAACTGAAGTATGTTGATCTGGTGTAAACAACATTAACTTCAGGAAAGTATATAATGGAACATATTGCAAAAATAAAATTGCTGCTTGGACATAGCCTAAGCCAGCCCTCCAGACTCCGCTTTACTATTTCCTTTCACTTCCGCACACTCTCTCCCTCAGGTTGAACGAGACACCTACGTTGGTGGTCTCAGGGACTCCCACAGGTCGGTAGCCCCCCGGCAGACGTGCCGGACCCCAACAGTGAACCACAAAGGAAGGTTAGGTTTGCATTTGCTTGAAGAATGGGAAGGTGGAGGATAATCCAACAGACGCTCTTTATGTTCTATTTAGCCGGGAAAAAGCAAAAACCTGGCTCCAAAGCAGTCAGAAACAGAAGGTGGAAAGGAAGCAAGTGATGTGAGTTCTTGAGGTCCTCCGAAGAGATGCCTTGGAGACAAAAGAAATCAATGACCCTGCAAATTTTCTTTATCCTACTGGGCACCTTGACCAGAGCACTTGAAGCAGAGGCCTTGCACAGGTGATGGGGAGGAACTCTTTCTGGATTAGACATGGAAAACCCACCAACCACAGAGATGCAAGCTTCCAAATGAGTACATCTGTGCTGCTAGTATCCTAGTGGGGTGGGAATCAGAAGGCTCTGTGTATGTTATCACACAGGTAGAAAGTTCTAAAACTATGCTGTAACCAGCCCCCCGTGCAGGTCGTGAGCATTTAAAATGTGGTGAGTTGAATTCAGATGTGCTGTAAGGGTAAAATGCACACCAGATTTCAATGACTTGGTGTGAAAAAATAATATAAAATACATAAAATATTACATTAACAATTTAGATGAATTATAAGTTAAAATAATATTTATCCTAGTAAAATGTTTTAAAAACTTTTATTTTCAGTTCAGGGGTACATGTGCAGGTGTGCTATATAGGTAAACTCATATCACGGGGGTTTATTGTACAGATTATTTTGTTACCCAGGTACTCAGCCTAGTACCCAATTGTTATTTTTTCTGATCCTCTCCCTCCTTCCAGCCTCCACCTTACAAGAGGCTCCAGTGGGTGTTGTCCCCCTTTTTGTGTCCATTTGTTCTCATAATTTAGCTCCCACTTTTTTTGTTGTTGTTGTTCTCTGAAGTGAATGAACTGAACAAAAACCATTTTTTTTTTTTGAGATGAAGTCTCACTCTGTCACCTAGGCTGGAGTGCAATGGTGTGATCTCGGCTCACTGCAACCTCTGCCTCCTGGGTATACCAATTCTCCCGCCTCAGCCTCCCGAGTAGCTGGGACTACAGGCACCCACCACCACGCCTGGCTAATTTTTGTATTTTTAGTAGAGACAGGGTTTCACTATGTTGGCTAGGCTAGTCTCCAACTCCTGACCTCAGGTGATCCGTCCACCTTGGCCTCCCAAAGTGCTGGGATTACAGGCATAAGCCACTGCACCCAGCCAGCTCCCACTTATAAGTGAGAACATGTGATATCTGGTTTTCTGTTTTGTGTTAATTTGTTAAGGATAATGGCCTCTAGCTCTATCCGTGTTCCCACAACAGACATGTTCTCGTTCTTTCTTATGGCTGCATAGTGTATTTCATGGTGTATATGGACCACATTTTCTCTATCCAATCTGTCACTGATGGACATGCAGGTTGATTCCATGTCTTTACTATTGTGAATCGTGCTGCCATGCGTCTTTATGGTAGAATGATTTCTATTCCTTTGGGTGTATACCCAGTAATGAGAATGCTGAGTTGAATGGTATTTCTATTTTTAGCTTTTTGAGGAATCACACTGTTTTCCACAACAGTTGAACTAATTTAAACTCCCATCAACCGTGTATAAGCATCCCCTTTTCTCCACAACCTCTCCAGCATGTTATTTTTGACTTTTTAAAAATAGCCATTCTGATTGGTGTTAGATGGTGTCTCATTGTGATTTTGACATGCATTTCTCTAATGATCAGTGACAAGTCGACTTTTTTTTCTGTATGCTTTCTGGCCACATGTATGTCTGCTTTTGAAAAGTGTCTGTCCATGTATCCCAGTAAAATTAGTTTTGCTTGCTTCTCTGTACTTTCAGAAGTGTGGCTACTAGAAAATGTATGATCGTCTATGTGGCTCAGATTACATTTCTATTGGACAGCACTGTCTGGACTCAAGAAGGTGCTCTGATTCAAGAGGTTGTAAAGAAATTCTCTAAGTCAATAAGAAAAATAGAAGAAACCAAACGGGCAATGAGCACATGGTAACTCACTCACCTCAGTGGAAAGGAGGGAATGGCAAGCCAGGCCACTGGAGCCCACTGGGGACATAGGACAAGGCCACAAAGCACAGACGGCCCCTCCAGGGAGAGCAGCCAGGCCTTGGGAGGACATGGCCGTAGGACCAGATCCAGGGAGGACATGTGGCTTGAGTCACTAACTGCTGGCTCATCTGGCAGGTGTGGGCAGCAGCCAGGACCATGGCTTCACTGGGTCCCCCTGATCACTGCCCTCAGCTGTCTTGCAGCCTGGGTCAGGCACCTATGCAGCTCCCTGACAGGCAGAGATGCAACACTAGGCAGGGCTTGCTGCCCCAGCTGCAGTGAGTGCGGCAGCAGATGGCCTCCAGCCATCAGCAACTTCAAAGAGCTGCCTTCCCTGAGGTCCCATAAACTAGTTAGGGACTTCACAACTGCAGCATTACCACCCAAAGATTAAAATAATGACCTGAAGACAGGAATGAGTCAAAATTACACATCCCTGCAAGTGGTTTATTGAGAGCTGATGTGTCAACCAAAAAACAAACCAAAATGATGGGAATATTGATGATTTCAACATATAAAAATTTTAAATAAGATCAATCTTTACATACCAATTAGAAACACCTACAAGATGTATCAAGCAAAAAGAAGATGAAGAATAGTGTGTACCATTGGTTTGGTACCATTTGTTTCAACAGAGGCTAAAGAATATATATGTGCTACACACATGTTTAGATTCTATGTGTAGTCTTAGGTACATGTGCTTATACCACAGGTATGTGCCTATCTAACTCTGCATGACCTCTGGAAAGAGAAGTCAACACTGGTGTCACTGGTGGCTGAGGGAAGTGGTGGCTGTGGGACAGGATGGGAGGGACGCATCCCTACATAATACTTCATACCTTTTAGCTTTGAACCATGTGCAATTATTATCTACTGAAAAATAAGTTAAAAACTAAAAATCAAACCCAAGGAAAAACTGCAGCAATAAACCATTAAAAACATACATTCATTTCATCACAGTCCACAGCATACTGGGAGCTGTCCATTTAGTACTGATGGCTTATACTGTCATGTGATTAAAAAAAATAGTAATCCCATGAGTTCCTCTCAACCTCAATTTCTAATCTCAAATACACATTTCAGAAAGACACAATTGAAGAATAGCCAGAGCTGTACATATTCTTAAATGAAGCCCCATGGAAATCTCAGGTCTAACAGTCATCCAGGCTGAGGCTCCTAGTTTGGGCGAGTTGGTCCTCAAGCCCTTGGCCAAACTTGGCAGCAAAGAGTGAGGTGATGAGGTCATCTCCAGTGTTCAGAGCCAGGTCGTACGCTGTCTGGCCTCTTGCATTCTTCTTTCGGATGCTTGCATTGCATCTGCAAAGGAAATGGAGAAATGGAGAAGCACTGACGGACTTGAGCATGTGACCCTAAGAGCTTGACTCTTCCCTGCCATGGAGGCCAGTCTGGGCACCTCCTGGTCCCACCTCCACAAACCTGTCCCCAAGTGGTCACCATGACTTTAGCTCTCTGAGGTGGCTCTATCCTGAAATCTTGAAAGAGGCTCTGTGATTTCAAAATGTCCAATTGCTAATCCTGGCCATTGTTTCCCATTGCGTTAAAGTCCTACAACCAAGTGTGTTTAATGGGGGCAACATTTTCATTGTGCTTTGAAAAGCCCTTAGTGTCCCGGGAGCTATGGTGGGATGGTGGTTCCCACAGACAGGGACAGCAGTTCAGGAACCAAGGCTCCTGTTAAAATCATCACAGGCAGGCCGGGCACGGTGGCTCACGCCTGTAATCCCAGCACTTTGGGAGGCCGAGGAGGGTGGATCACGAGGTCAAGAGATCGAGACCATCCTGGTCAACATGGTGAAACCCCGTCTCTACTAAAAATACAAAAAATTAGCTGGGCATGGTGGCGCGTGCCTGTAATCCCAGCTACTCAGGAGGCTGAAGCAGGAGAATTGCCTGAACCCAGGAGGCGGAGGTTGCGGTGAGCCGAGATCGCGCCATTGCACTCCAGCCTGGGTAACAAGAGCGAAACTCTGTCTCAAAAAAAAAAAAAAAATCATCACAGGCCATTAGAGAGATCCCTGTGGCCCTCAAAAGTATCCATCAGAGGCAAGGGGACATACCCTAGTAAAGTGGCGATGCTCTCTCTTCCTGCAAGACCAAGCAGAGTTGCTTCATGAAGAGCTGTATTTCTGAGCCTAATTAGAGGGGAAAAAAAGAATTCTGGATAAATCCTTAGTTAGCATCATCAGGAAACTGGAGAGACTGCATGTGACCCAAGGTCTTGGTTTTGCTCACTGATCTATTTAACTAAGCTGGGAAAATCTCTTGAGTCCCCTCTCTGCCCTTCTCTTGAAGGAATGCTGTGATGGAGGGTAAGCTTTGATACTAGAGAGTGAAAAAGTTATAAACACATTCATTTTTTAATGTGAGAAACCCACAAGGATGTGGTTGGTAGTTTATTTAGTAAATGCTAATAAATACCATTTTTCTAAATTGCCTGAAAGAGTTAATGCAACATATTGGATGTAGCCTCAACTTTGGCTTGGATCTCCTGGGCACCATAGTAGCTTTTCAGGGCTGAGGCTTCTATTTTTGTGTGGAGAAAATGACCTTGGCTCCCGTGAGGTGGGCTTACATGACATGAAAATAAACGCCAATCTTAGAAACTAGGGGACAGGCGTGAGAGGTCAGACACAGCATATTTTTCTGCAATGCCAGGTTTTCTCTCCATATTTCCTGGTCAGGTTTGACCTAGTAAGGGAGGAGTGGGCAACTGAAATGGAGGCTGGGGAGGTACCAGGACTCCTGAAAGGCTCCTATGCAGAGGTGGCAGGAGTGAAGGAGGGCAGGAGTCATGACTGAAAGTAGAAATGAGATAGGCATTGAAGGTCTGAACTTTCTCTGCCCCTACTCCTTTCTTTGACGCCCCACACCTGCAGATATGCCTGCAGCCATGCATTTATCCCAGTGGAGAAAAAGGATAGCGGCTTCTTCTCTTGAAGAAGGTAAAGAGAGCCTTTGGTGAAAATCACAGGGAAGGCTTCCACTTTTTGGAACCCAGGGGTCCCAGTCTGGGAGTAGCTCTGTTTACCCAGAAAGACTCTTGGTTGACAAAGCCCTTCCCTTATATACAGAATTACCAGTCTTCTAGCCCATCCTCCATTCTCAAATGTGAATGGACGACAAAGGCTCACAGACATCAGAGAAAGACCTGCAGAACCAAAGAGAAAACCAAGACACACCAACACAAGGAATTGAAAACAAGACAAAAATTCAGTGGGTATCTGCAGAATGATTCAAGACAATACGGCACAAAAATATGAGACTGTGAAAAAGAAACAGAACAGAAGTAGCTCCTAGAAAGAAGAAATATGATTATTGAAATAAAGATTACTCAATAGGAAGAATGGAAAACAAAGTTAGGAAAATCTCCCAAAAGATAGAAGAGAAAAAGATAGATGAAACTATGGAAAAACAAAGAAAGAGACAGGGAACTGATTCAAGCAGTCCACCATCCAGCATCTATTATTCTATAATAGTTCTAGAAAGAGAATAGAAAAATGGAGGGGAGAAAATGCCAAAGAGATAATAGAATAAATTTCTCCTAACCTAAAGCAAGATATGACTTTTTAAATCGAAAAGGTCACCTAGGTAAATCAAAAACAGCACATCTCAAAATACCCTTGTGAAATCTCAGAACATCAAGGGTAAATGCTTTCAGAAAGAACAAATAAACAGGTCACAAGTGAAGAGTCTGCCATAGAATGTTCACAGGCTATGCTGTATGCTAGTCTATTAGTCCATTTTCACACTGTTGATAAAGGCATACCCAAGACTGGGCAATTTACAAAAGAAAGAGATTTAATTTGACTTAGTCTGGAAAAGACTCCATTTCCTCCTTATCTTTCATCCTGTCTTCCTCATGGGTGGCATAGAGCTTAACTGTCTGTCACTTCACCCCTGCGCTTCCTTGGGTCTTTATAAGGCATTTACCATTTGAACTGGGATAATATATTCCCAGGGTTGCCACATCTCCTGAGTAGACTTATGGTCTTCTTTCTTCACTATTCTCCCCAGATTGAGAGAAGAGTGTTTATTCAATTTATTGCATGGGGGCTTTGCTGGTGGTTAGATTTTCTGTGCCAGCTGTTTCCTATGTAGCCACAGTTCAGTTTTGGAAAATGCTGAGTGGTGACTCTGCCATGGAACTTGTATTTTAAAGATACAAACAACTCAAACTATTTACTCAAATCTAAGTGTCCTGGTAAAATACATTCTCTCTTTAAATTGCCTAATAGAATAAATGTCCACAGTTGAACCTCTCAGAAGTAGACTGATGCTTGCCTCTTCCTTACCTGTCTACTGGGGCAGAGCCAGGGGATGACATGTTTGGAATCACCAATGCAGTGAGAAAGGGCAGCTCTTGTCCAAAAGCAAACAGCATTTCTCTGGGCCTCTCACCTAGTGAGATCTTGAATCTGTGCTTCTGCAATCTGCTAGTAAGAGGCATGAGCTTTGGTGGAGGATGTGAATTTCTCCTAGCCATTCCCTTTTTCTGAATATGCGTTCATTGTGGTAGGAATGATACAAACATGGAACCAGGAAATTAGGAAAGAGCTTTCTGCCACCTGCCAAGCTACTTAACGGAAGTTATCTGGTGTAGAGACCACCGAGCCTCCATTAGCCAAACATGCTCGGATGGGAGAGAGCATTTTAATTCTTGTTTGCTAAGGAACAACTCTCTGAGCCTCTTTTATGGTAAAGCCAGATCTCTGGATGACTTATGCCTAAAAGCAATAGGATGCATGGAATTTTGATGTCATGTTCCTGGGTCTCCAGAAGTCTAGCTATGGGGTAGAGGCTGGGTTGATCCAGGCCCAAACCCTTGAAACTAACAGATATAAACCAGACTTGGCAGAATTTGGCTCTCGGTGGGAAATGCTTCTTTCCTCTACTGGCATGCACTGGAAAGGAAGAAGAGATCCCTGTGCTCTATTTGAGAGAGGGCCAACCCTTTAGCTTTTCTCCCCACAACCATGTGAGCTACATAGTGCTCACAGTCTCTGCGATCATGCACTGGGAGTAACAAAGGCCGTTACACACCATTAAGACAGACAGGTATAACCGCAGTGTCAGACTTTACGGACATGCAATGAGATCACATGTGAATAAATGCCAATTTGTAGAATGGTGAAGAAGCAGTCATGGAAACTGAGGCACAGGAAAATAAAAAAGCAATCTGTTCAATGCCCAGGGCATTTTCCTCCTCTTAGCTGGATTCTTCATAAAGCCAGGACTCATGCGGCTTACATTTCAATTCAAAATGTACTCAAGTAATTTGTGTATCAGCCACAAACATACTTAAATGCTATTTTAAAAGATTTTCTGAATTATAAAAATATAAAATATGCCTCAATACAAAACGAGGTAGCACCATTTTATTAATAATGACAATAATAAAACAGTGTGGGATAAATGAAGAACTTGACACAGTAAACTCTAAGAAAACTTGAGAAAATAAATTCCAGCCATCAAAGCTTTATACCAACAAACCAAACATTCTGCTGTAAAATAAAACTAAAAAAGGTAGAAACTATTAAAATGCAGATGGAAAAATTAACAGGACTATATTTTGAACACTAACACCAGAGACTATTTTGAAACAGAGAATAATAGAAGCAAAGCTACTGCAACTTTGGCCTCTGCGGTGGCATGAGGTGCACAGCAGAATGTTCCAGTGACACAGACCCTGATCTTGCCTTAGTAAGACCTCAGGAGGCAGGAGTGTTAGATGCCTGTGATGTCCCGATAAGACTTATTTCAACAATGTGGTCAGCAAGATATGAGCAGTTAACATGAATGACCCACACTCAAGGAAATTTTCACCCCACATTTTCAAAGTCATTTGCAAAAGAACAATAGAAGCATAAGGCTGGAAGAGAAGGTTATGCGACAGGAGTGGACCAAGACTGGGACAGTAAGTATCAGGACTTGGCACCTTTCTGTCTTGTATCATTCATAGGTGGGAAAGCAAGGCCACAGGAGACCCTGTGGTGACCTCAGAGGTACCAGTCTCCTCCAGAGTGGTGTTAGATCTGGAGACAACTGTATGACATTTTCTTTCTGCATTAACTTTATGAGGATATTTCCACGGGGAATATACTGAGGTCTGTCTTTCCTTGGTATTATCATGATTCATGATGAAAACATTGGTTAACACCCAAGGGCTAAGGATTTACCGACCCCACACAGCATAACTTTATCAATTAACAAAATGTATCATCATTTATAAAAGCCACAAAATCAGGCAACCCAATAGTCCGTTTTTAAAAGTTCACTTTACCCAGCTATGGAAAAGACAAGGTGTTAAGCCTCTTGTTCAAGCTGATATAGGTTACAATGGTTAAAGAGGCTGAAACTGAACAGGGCATGTGCATAGACTTCTTCTGCCACAGTGGAGCTCCAAGCAGTTAGCCTGCTGCTATCTTAGCTCTCCTTTCCTTGTGTTTCACTTACAGCCCCCACTGCTGGTCGATGTCGGCTCCTCTCTGCACGAGAACCGGAATCGCTTCATGGTGCTTATTCATAACAGCCACGGTTATGACAGGTCGATCGTCTTCATCACAGCAGTTGGGGTCTGCTCCCTGCAGCAAATGGAAAAGGAGAAACTCGCCACAAAACCCTGCACTCCCAGCATCCAGCTGCCATCCTATGAAGTCTGACAGATGTCCTTCACAGAGCTGATGGAGCTAGAGTGCTTTCAGATCAAAGGAGAGGAGAACCAGGAACCTCAAGACCTGACCAACAATGAACAGAGCTACAAAGTGGCCAAGGTGACAAAACTTCTGTTCCCAACATGGGTGGGGAGGGGAGGGCAGGCACCCTGACTACCTTGCTTCTTTAGGAAACCCAGGATAAAGGTGTTATGGGGTCACGGGCCAGAGATTCTATGCAGCTTCATGCATCCTCCTTGATCTCTTCTGTGCTTGTCTATTTTCTCTGATATAAAAACTAGCAACAGGAAACAATTAATTAATGTAAAGCTTTTTTAGCCATTTGCTCCATCCCTGGTTTTTAATCAGAGGGCAGTGTAATTTTCACAGTACTGAACAAAACTTCCATCTGAAGGAGACAGAGGTGGAATGTCAGGATAAACTCCAGGGAGACTTGCTCCTCGGGAGACACTTACTTCATCCAGCAGCTGTTCAATCACAGAGACTCTTCCTTCGCCTGTGGGTCCAACTTCCCTCAACAGGAGTCTATCTTCAGGCTGCAGGATTACAGAATGTGGTCATTTCCTCCGCCTCAAAATATTCACTCAGGGCAAACACTTTCTCTCCAACATTGAATTCTAAGTCACAAGGACAGGTGACTATGAGTGCGTGCGTGTGTGAGTGTGTGCATGTGAGAGTGTGTATGGTCTTAATAGCCCTCAACACAAACACCCACATCTAATGTCACTCTTGCTGCTCCAAAACCGTGCTTCAGGCAAGGTCACCACATGGACACTGTTTTATATTAAGGTCAAGGACGCCGTGAGAAACCTCGCGAAACACAGAAACTCCACACTAGTTTTACTATGACTAGCTCTAGGAAAAGCAATCAGATGAATCCTAAAATTTATTTTGCGTACTTTATAAAGTGTTCAAAGTCAGCCAAATTATGACAGTTCAGAAAATGTACTCCCCTGAGGAAGGAATGAGCCAATAAATTGACTTCTTATTTAGAAAAAAAAGGCCGAGCATAGTGGCTCATGCCTGTAATCTCAGCACTTTCGGAGGCCGAGGCAGGCAGATCACTTGAGGTCAGGAGTTTGAGACTAGCCTGGCCAACATGGTGAAACCCCGTCTCTACTAAAAATATAAAAGTTGGCCAGGCATGGTAGTATGTGTCTGTAATCCCAGCTGCTTGGGAGGCTGAGGCAGGAGAATCACTTGAATCCAGGAGGCAGAGGCTGCAGTGAGCTGAGATCACCCAACTGCACTCTAGCCTGGCCAACACAGCAAGACTCTGTCTCAAAAAAAGAAAGAAAGAAAAGTTCTCAGAAATTTGAAGAACTTATCTTTTTATATTTTTAAATGCCATACATTCATTTATATGTATAAAGAATTTCCAATGCCAGAAGACTGAAGGAAGCTGTTTAGGAAGCAGGAGACATTGCTTTTAGTGTGTTTCTGCCTCTGGATCCTGGGCATGACTGTGGGGTGGTCACGGGACTGCGATTTCCATTTGTAAAGTGGAAATAATACCTTCCCTGTCCTTGCTCCTGTGAAGCCATGGCAATGAGGACACTGGTCAAGGCCTCTGAGCCTTTCGGAAGATGATGCCTGGTCCAGGCAGTGCCGCCTCCTTTCTTGCTGTCCCCATCTTACTGATGAATAGCTTGGAACCAAGTACTTTAATCAGTACACCCCAGGAGGGGTCTTGGGAAGCCCTTGTTTATACTGATTGCCAATCCTCATGGAAAAGCACATTAGAATGCACTGGCATGTCAGCTTCAAGAGGTATGAGATCTTCATGTCTTTTCTTCAGGTTTTATTTTCAACACATAGAACAGTGCCTGGTACATGTGTACTCAAAAATAATCGTTGAATGAGTGAACAAATATTATAGCTTCTGATACATATCCCCTAAATGCAAATGAGAAAAAAATCGAGAAAAAAAGGGATATACAATGGGAGATTCAGGTTACAGACAGAGTAACCTGAGTTACCAGAGTCTTCCAAATTGTAAGCTGCTCAGTTTATGGAACTCTATGCTTCTTTTATGCGCATTAACAATATCTCAAACTGGGAGAAGGTGAAGAGTACAAGGAATCCTAAACAATAAAAGTTAAAACAATCCTAAGGTTTTCTTTCCAAACTTACTGGTGTTTATTACATGCAAAGCATGTGGTGGGAAACAGATAACATAAAGAACAGAGTCCCTGCCTCCAGAGGAAATCAGGATGCAAGCTGGGTAGCTGGTGCCTGCACTGATGAGGCTGTGTTGAGGGCCTGGCCTTGGAACCACACGTGGAGGGAAGCACCAGCATCATGCAAGTGTCCAGCTTGGGCCTGGGCCTGTGCCTTGGGGCTAATCACATCTGTTCTTTGTATTGCAGCCAAAGAGGACCGATTAAAAGGCAAGGTTGGGGATGGAGCAGGAGACATCCACTGCCCTTTTTTCCAAAGCTCCTTTTAGAATTATTCTTGGCATGTATTTTTGAAACGAAACTCTAAAAGATGTGGGAAACTCTGAAAGGTTACTGACCTTGGTGAATTAGTGATTTTGAGAAATTCCAAGAAGACTGAAAGTAGATGAACTCTGGTTCCTCCTCTCTCCACCTAATGTGCCTATTCCTCCTTCACCTCTGCCATGACTAGAAACTCCCTGAGGCCCTCACCAGAAGCAGATGCTGGCTCCGCACTTTCTGTATAGCTTGCAGAACTGTGAGCTAATTAAATCTCCTTAAAAACTACCCAGTCTTAGGTATTTTTAAATAGAAATACAAGAACAGACTAAGGGAGCTCCACCAAGATGGCCAAATAGGAACAGCTCCAGAGCACAGTTCCCAGGGAGTGATGCAGAGAGAGAGTGATTGCAGCATTTCCAACCGAGGTACCAGGTGCCTCTCAGTGGGACTGGGTGGACAGTGGGTGTAGCCCAAGGGGGGTGAGCTGAGGCAGGGTGGGGTGCTGCCTCACCTGGGAAGTCCAGCAGACTGGAGGACCCCCCACTCCTCCCTAACAGAGGTCCTGGGGGCTCTTCCGGCCACTCCAACACTGTTTCAGTTACTGGGCTTATCGCAGGGTCTTTACAGCCCACAGACCAGGAGATTTCCACAGGCCAACAAGCGCCACAGGTTTCCAGCACAAAAACCCACACAAATCTGGGTGGCTGTTTCAACTGGCACCTGGAACACCTGTGAGACAGAGCCACACATTCCCCTGAAAAAGAGGGGGCTGAAGGCAGAGAGCCAGGTGGTCTGGATTGGCGGATCCCACCCCCACAAAGATCAGCAATATGAGACTCACTGGCTTGAGAGTTTCACATCCAGCACAGCAGTTTGAGCTTGAGCCGGGATGGTGGAGCTCTTTGTGGGGAAGGGTGTCCGCCATTACCGAGGCAGTCTGCTATTACCGAGGCAGTTCTAACCTTAACTGTGTAAACAAAACCACAAGGATGTTTACACAGGAGCTGGACAGAGCCCGCAGCACCTCAGCAGGCAGACTGTGACTGGACTCCCTCCTTGCTGGGCAGGGCATCTCTGAAAAAAGGCAGCCACATGTCAGGGACTTATAAATAAAGCCCCACCTTCCAGGAGAGAGCACCTGGGAAAAGAGGCGGTTGTGAGTTCCACTGCAGCAGACTTAAAAGTCCCCACCCAGCAGCTCTGAATGGAGCAGCACAGCACTTGAGCTCTGATAAGGGATAGACTTCCTCCTCAAGGGGCTCCCTGACCCCTATATATCCAAAGAGGCACCTCATACAGGAGAGCTGTGGCTGACATCTGGCTGACTTCTGGATGAAGCTACCAGAGGAAGGAACAGGCAGCAATCCTTGCTGTTCTGTAGCCCCTGAGGGTGATTCACAGGCAAGCAGGGTCTGGAGTGGACCTCCAGCAGTCGTGCAGCAGAGAGGCCTGACTGTTAGAAGGAAAACTAAAAAACAGAAAGAAATAGCTCCAACATCAACAGAAAGGATGTCCAGTCAGAGACCCCATCTAAAAGTCACCAACTTCAAAGACCAAAGGTAGATAAATCCATAAAGATGGGAGAAACCAGCACAAAAATGATGAAAACACCCAAAACCAGAATGCCTCTCCTTCTCCAAGGGATCCCAACTCCTCACCAGCAAAGGAACAAAACTGGATGGAGAATGAGTTTGATGAATTGACAGAAGGAAGCTTCATAAGGTAGGTAATAAACTTTTCTGAGCTAAAGGAACATGTTCTAATCCAATGCAAAGAAACTAAGAAGCTTGAAAAAAGGTTAGATGAAATGCTGACTAGAATGACCAGGTTAGAGAAGAACATAAACAACTTGATGGAGCTGAAAAACACACTACGAGAACTTTGCAAAGCATACACAAGTTTCAATAGCCAAATTGATCAAGCAGAAGAAAGGATATCAGTGATTGAAGATCAACTCAGTGAAATAAAATGAGAAAGTAAGATGAGAGAAAAAAGAGTGAAAAGACATAAAAAGCCTCCAACAAATACGGGATTATGTGACAAGACCTAATCTACGTTTGATAGGTGTACCTGAATATGACGCAGAGAATGAAACCAAGCCGGAAAATATTCTTCAGGATATTATCCAGGAGAACTTCCCCAACCTAGCAAGGCAGGCCAACATTCAAATACAGGAAATAAAGAGAACACCACAAAGATATTCCTCAAGTAGAACAACCCCAAGGCACATAATGTCAGATTCACCAGGGTTGAAATGAAGGAAAAAATGCTAAGGACAGCCAGACAGAAAGGTCAAGTTACCCACAAAGGGAAGCCCATCAGACTCACAGTGGACCTCTTCGCAGAAACCCTCCAAGCCAGAGGAGAGTGGAGGCCAATATTCAACATCCTTAAAGAAAAGAACTTTCAACCCAGAATTTCATATCCAGCCAAACTAAGCTTCATAAGTGAAGGAGAAATAAAATCCTTTAGGAACAAGCAATTGCTGAGAGATTTCATCACCATCTGGCTTGCCTTGCAAGAGCTCCTGAAGGAAGCACTAAATATGGAAAGGAACAACCAGTATCTGCCACTGCAAAAAATGTATCAAATGATAAAGAACATCAATACAATGAAGAAACTGCATAAATAACTGGCAAAACACCAACTAGCATCAAAATGGCAGGATCAAATTCATACATAACAATATTAACCTTAAATGTAAACAGGCTAAATGCCCCAATCAAAAGACGCAGACTGGCAAATTGGATAAAAAGTCAAGACCCATCTGTGTGCTATATCCAGGAAACCCATCTCACATGCAAAGACACATACAGACTCAAAATAAAGGGATGGAGGAAGATTTACGAAGAAATGGAGAGCAAAAAAAAGGGGGTTGCAATCCTAGTCTCTGATAAAACAGACTTTAAACCAACAAAAATCAAAAGAGACAAAGAAGGGTATTACATAATGGTAAAAGGATAAATGCACAAGAAGAGCTAATGATCCTAAATATATATGCACCCAATACAGGAGCACCCAGATACATAAAGCAAGCTCTTAATAACCTACAAAGAGACTTAGACTCCCACACAATAATAGTGGGAGACTTTAACACTCCACTGTCAATATTAGACAGATCAACAAGACAGAAAATTAACAAGGATATCCAGGACTTGAACTCAGATCTGGACCAAACAAACCTAATAGACACAGAACTCTCCACCCCAGATCCACAGAATATACATTCTTCTGAGTACCACATCGCACTTACTCTAAAATTGACCACATAATTGGAAGTAAATCACTCCTCAGCAAATACAAAAGAACAGAAATCATAACAACCAGTCTCTCAGACCACAGTGCAATCAAATTAGAACTCAGGATTAAGAAACTCACTCAAAGCCACACAACTACATGGAAACTGAACAACCTGCTCCTGAATGACTACTGGATAAATAATAAAATGAAGGCAGAAATAAAGATGTTCTTTGAAACCAATGAGAACAAAGACACAACATACCAGAATATCTGGGACACATTTAAAGCAGTGTCCAGAGGGAAATTTATAGCACTCACTTAATGCCCACATGAGAAGCAAGGAGAGATCTAAAATCAACACCCTATTCTCAAAATTAAAAGAGCTAGAGGAGCAAGATCAAACAAATTCAAAAGCTAGCAGAAGACAAGAAATAACTAAGATCAGAGCAGAACTGAAGGAGATAGAGACACAAAAAACCCTTCAAAAAAAATCAATAAATCCAGGAGCTGTTTTTTTGAAAAGATCAATGAAATAGATAGACTGCTAGCCAGACTAATAAAAAAGAAAAGAGGGAAGAATGATACAATAAAAAATGATAAAGGGGCTATCGCCACCAATTCCACAGAAATACAAACTACTATCAGAGAATAGTACAAACAACTCTATGCACATAAACCAGTAAATCTAGAAGAAATGGATACATTCCTGGACACTCACACCCTCCCAACACTAAACCAGGAAGAAGTTGAATCCCTAAATAGACCAATAACAAGGTCTGAAGTGGAGGTAGCAATTAAGAGCCTACCACACACAAAAAAGTCCTGGTCTAGACGGGTTCACAGCTGAATGCTACCAGACATACAAAGAGGAACTGGAACCATTCCTTCTGAAATTATTTCAAACAATACAGAAAGAGGGAATCCTCCCTAACTCATTTTATGAGACCAACATCATCCTGATACCAAAACCTGCAGAAATACAATTAAGAAAAGAAAATTTCAGGCCAAATTCCGTCATGAACATCGATGCAAAAATCTTCAATAAAATACTGGCAAACCGAATGCAACAGCATATCAAAAAGCCTATCCATCACAATCAAGTAGGCTTTCATCCTGGGGATACAAAGCTTGTTCAACATATGCAATCCATAAACATAATCCATCACATAAACAGAACCAAAGACGAAAGTGACACGATTATCTCACTAGATGCAGAGAAGGCCTCTGACAAATTCAACAGCCCTTTATGCTAAAAACTTAATAAACTAGGCATCAATGGATTGTATCTCAAAATAATAAAAGCTATTCATGACAAACCTACAGCCAAGATCATACTCAATGGACAAAAACTGGAAGCATTCCGTTTGAAAACTGGCACTACACAAGGGTGCCCTCTCTCACCACTCCTATTCAACATAGTATTGGAAGTTCCAGCCAGAGCAATCAGGCAAGAAAAAGAAATCAAGGGTATTCAAATAGGAAAAGAGGAAGTCAAATTGTTTCTATTTGCAGATGACGTGATTGTATATTTAGAAGACCCCATCATCTCATCCCCAAATCTCCTTAAGATGATAAGCAACTTCAGCAAAGTCTCAGGATACAAAATCAATGTGCAAAAATCACAAGCATTTCTATACACCAATAACAGATAAACAGACAGCCAAATCATGAGCGAACTCTCATTCACAATGGCTACGAAGAGAATAAAATACCTAGGAATACAAAGGACGTGGAGGACCTCTTCAAGGAGACATACAAACCACTGCTCAAGGAACTAAGGGAGGAACAGATGGAAAAACATTCCATGCTCATGGTTAGGAAGAATCAATATCATGAAAATGGCCATACTGCCCAAAGTAATTTACAGATTCAATGCTATCCCCATCAAACTACCACTGACCTTCACAGAACTGGAAAAAAACCACCTTAAACTTCATATGGAACCAAAAAAAGAGCCCACATAGACAAGACAATCCTAAGCAAAAAGAACAAGGCCAGCTGGAGACACCATGCTACCTAACTTCAAACTATACTACAAAGCTACAGTAATCAAAACAGGATGGTACTGGTACCAAACAGAGATACAGACCAATGAAACAGAACAGAGGCCTAAGAAGTAACGCTACACATCTACAACCATCTGATCTTTGACAAACCGGACAAAAACAAGCAAAGGGGAAAGAAGTCCATATTTAATAAATGGTGTTGGGATAACTGGCTAGCCATGTGCAAAAAGCTGAGAGTGGACCCATTCCTACACCTTATACAAAAATTAACTCAAGATGGATTAAAGATTTAAACACAAGATCTAACACCATAAAAACCCTAGAAGAACCATTCGGGACATAGGCATAGGCAAGGGCTTTATTACTAAAACACCAAAATCAATGACAACAAAAGCCAAAATAGACAAATGGGATCTAATTAAACTTAAGAGCTTCTGCACAGCAAAAGCAACAATTAGAGAGAACCAGCAACCAACAGAATGGGAAAAAATTTTTGCAATCTACCCATCTGACAAGGGCTAATATACAGAATCTATAAATAACTAAAACAAATATACAAGAAAAAAACAAATAACACCATCAAAAAGTGGGTGAAATATATGTACAGACACTTTTCAAAGGAAGACATTTATGTGGCCAACAAACATGAAAAAATGCTCATCATCACTGGGCATTAGAGAAATGCAAATAAAAACCACACTGAGATACCATCTCACACCAGTTAGAATGGCAATCATTAAAAAATCCGGAGACAACAGATGCTGGAGAGGATGCGGAGAAATATAAACACTTTTCCACTGTTGGTGGGAAGGTAAATTAGTTCAACCATTGTGGAAGACAGTGTGGTGATTCCTCAAGACCTAGAAATAGAAATACCATTTGACTCAGCAATCCCATTACTGGGTATATATCCAAAGGATTCTAAATCAATCTGTTATAAAGACACATGTACACATATGTTCATTGTGGCACTGTTTACAATAGCAAAGACTTGGAACCAACCCAAATGCCCATCAAAGATAGACTGGATAAAGAAAATGTGGCACGTATACACCATGGAATACTATGCAGCCATAAAAGAGATGAGTTCATGTCCTTTTTTAGGGACATGGATGAGTCTGGAAACCATCATTCTCAGCAAACTGACACAAGAACAGAAAATCAAACAACACTGCATGTTCTCACTCATAAGAGGGTGTTGAACAATGAGAAGACATGGACACAGGGAGGGGAAACATCACACACTGGGGTCTGTTAGGGGGTGGGGGGCTGGGGAGCAACAGCAGGGGGTGGGGAGGTTAGGGAGGGATAACATTAGGAGAAATACCTAAGGTAGGTGACGAGGGTATGGATGCAGCAAACCACCATGTCCTGTGTATACCTAGTAACAATCCTGCAAGATCTGTACATGAACTCCAGAAAAATAAAAAAGAAAGAAAGAAAGTAGATAAAATCTGACTGACAGGGAAACCAAACCAAAACAAACAAAAATCCAGCTAAAGACACCAAAGGTAGGAGTGTTTCTCTCCAGGGAAGCCCTGCAAACGCTTAAATTAATCAGTAAAGAGGTTAGGTGCTGGGTGCAGCCTGAATGCATGAGTAGATTATTAAGGGCTCTATGGTGAATAGTTGAGGTCTCTGGTGCCTTGCCCCTTCTCCCCCATGTAAGAAGGGCAGGAGGCTTATGCTCTTTGCCCTGATAACTATTTTGTAGAAAGTATATGATTTGCCCAACACAGGCTTCTACTTGGCGTACTGGGGCCCAAAAAGGGAGAATTGGCAGAGCCTAGACCTCCACAACAGACATAGGGGAGGGTATAGAGAAAAAGGAAAAAAGCTTCATCCCAAGCTGAAACCCATGATGGCGCTTCACACCACCAACACCCTCACCACCAGAGAAAGACCTTTTCCACCAGCAACATAGGGGATCTGAAGGCTTTCTTCTGATCCCTGCCCACACACCCTCCAGGGACATCTGCCCACAACATGCCCATCCACTCACAAAGGGACTTCACGGGCCTTCCTCATGCTGGGCACCAGGACAGCATCTGCGCTACCCAACTAGCCTTTATTTGTCTAATGACCAGACAACCAAGGATCATCACATATTTGCGGCAAACCAAAAACAAGAGAGAGAAAGACGGGCAGACAGAACTGACCCCATACGAAACAGATGATTCAGGAAGCTGACGGGAACTTTGAAATAACTCTAATTCCTAATCTCAAGATATTTTAAATGAGTCTACCTCTTTAAATAAAAGCTCTTATAAAAAAGGAACAGAAAATGAGACATTATTCTTCCATTTTAAAAAAGTCAAACTAAAACCTGCAAATCACAGGCTGGAGACAACAGCAATAAGGACCAAAAAGGACACTTACTACAAGCTGCTCCTTCTTTTCTTGAAATGTTTTGGTCTTGAAATTCCTTATCCTTTTGACTTTTTCAATAGTATCTGAGGTGGTTTGGCAGTAGTCACTCACTGAAATGACAGAGTTGGGGAAAAAAATGATGCCCCTCCCCCAGTTCCCCACACAAAGAGCTATTTCTACATCCATGTCCCTCAAAAGTCAAAGGATAAAATGGCTTTCGTAGAAATTTCTATTTGATTAAACCTGGGAGGAGAGACTCCTGGAGCTCCTCCCCTGTCCAGGCACCAGCAGAAGGGTGGGAAGGAGGGGGTAAAAAGGGACTTCGGTTTTTAGGTTCAAAGGTGCACCCCACAAATGAATTTCCCCACGCCCTGTAAAAGACTTCAAAAGTCTCACTTCTGACTTCAGAGAAGCCAGAGAAATAAAATGACCGGAACATAATTGCAACATCTATGACTGGACTGTCAAATTCTTCGCGACTCTTTGCTATCCCTGCCAAGTACATGTGTTCCTGGTCAGTTGTTTTAAAATTGCCAGAAGGGAACAACTCACCCCAGCTGGACCTGCTGCCGCAAAGCCCCCCATCACCCTCAGCAGCACTGCTCAGAAGGTGGTCGCTGAAATTCACCGCCTTGTTCAGGTAAAGGTTCTGGTCAATGAAAACATTCAAACACCATGAATGATAAGGTTGCTTTGTCCCACTAGAGAGAAGGATCTCCCTGCTAACTTGCTCCTCCTTATTAAGGACAGCTCTACCTACCCGGACAGTTGAGCCTGAGACCTGGAAGTCCTTCCTGACTACTCACCTTCCCAAGATGCTTTGTCCATTCTGCTGATTACCTAGTGGCTCAGTCTGGCCCCTCCTCCTCTCCCTCACTGCATCCCTGACCCCTCAACTCACAATGGGACCATCACAATAGCCTCTCAACAGGGGTCTGCCAGTCTCCCTGCCCCATGGCTGTCCCGGTTCATCTTTATACCCTTTAGAAGTGACTGTATTATTTATCTGGCTTCAAGTCCTTCAATGTCTTGTAATTAGGGTGTCATGATGGGAAGGTCTCAGGCTACCAAGTGTGAATCCTGGGCCTGCCACTTACTGACTTAGTGCCCTTGGAAGAAGCAGGTTGCTTAACTTCTGTGAGCCTCAGTTTCCTCACCTGGAAAGTAGAAATATTATGACCTACCTCAATGGCATGTTGTAAAAGCAAAATGCGGTAAAATGGGTGTCTGTATAATGAGGCCAGACACAGAAGTCTGTGGCACCTGGACTGATCCCCTGCACCCTCAGGTGGCTGCCTGCTCCTGTCCCAAAGAACAGCCTGCTACTTCTTGAACACTAGAATATGCAGACTAAGAAAAGATTTATTAAACCTAAAGGCCAGGTGTGGTGGCTGAAGCCTGTAATCCCAGCACTTTGGGAGGCTGAGACAGGTGGATCACTTGAGGCCAGGAGTTCAAGACCAGCCTGGCCAATATGGTGAAACCCCATCTCTACTAAAAATACAAAACTTAGCTGGGTCTGGTGATGTGAGCCTGTAATCCCAGCTACACAGACAGCTGAGGAATGAGAGATGCTTGAACCTAGGAGGTGGAGGTTGCAGTGAGCCGAGATTGTGCCACCACACTCCAGTCTGGTTGACAGAGCAAGAATCTGTCTCAGAAAACAAAAAACAAAACAAAACAAAAAAAAACCACCACAACTGGGAACAGTTATTCCAATTCTACTTGAGAGGTAGCACGTTGGAGGTGCTGCTGGTGGCCCATCCTGTCCCACTAGCTGGCCAGGTTACTCGCACTAGCTGTTGTGCAGCTGCTAAGAGCTCACTGTTGGACCTCCTTCTCCAGCAAAGTGCCCTCGTAGATGGATGCTGCCTTGCCCTAGAGGTTATCCTCCGTCCCCTCCCTACCTCAGCTGGGGACAACTTTGTGGTGTAATTCATCCTCTAGAGGTCCCCTTGGATCAGGCTAAAGCTCAACTTTGCTTCTGTCTACCTGCTCATTTGGCCCCTTCCCCTGCCTTCTCTCACTCCCCTTTCCCTGAATTCTTCTCTGACCCAAGCTCTGCTCTAGCCACACAATGAAAAGCAGCAGTTAGTGCTTTATTTGGTTTCAAAGCACATTCAGGTGCACTAGTCCATTGGATACTCCCAGCCTCCCCATAAGTTAGACAGGGCCCATGTTTCTATCCCAGTTTCAACACCATCAGCACCTTGCCAGGACCTAAGAAATGTTAATTCCCCTCTTTTTCCTTGGCTTCTTAATTGATTGATCAATGATTCTGACTTCTTGTCCAATGAAACTGAAGCTGCTAATGTCAATCAATTAATGTTTGAAACACGCTTACACGCTCTGGGCAACACCCTAGTCACCATATAAAAGGGAAGATGAAGAACACGTGGCCACAAAGTTTGGTTTATTTGATAGAAGAAAATAAGTCAAAGGGCATATCAGCAAATTTTTTTGTCAGTCTTTCCCCAAATCAGTTGTATCACAGACATGCCACCAGACTTCAGTAAATATGAATAAGCCTGAGAACTACAGAAAAACTCCTGTTCTCACTATGCCTTTCTGTGCCTGTCTGAGGTTTAATTTGTTTATCTAATTCTATGAAATTGCTTGCCTCTAGGAGCATTTCATAATATTTGAAACATTTCCTTTCTATGGATTACACAGAAGCATTTCTATAAATTGTAAGTCCCAATTTACTAGATCAGTCAATTCTCGAATGAATAACTTCTGAAGGCTTACTCACCTTGTTTGAGACTTGAATATAATTCAGTCTGATGCTGACTTCACAACCATCTTTGTGGACAGTAGCAGAGATAAGCTTTTAAAAGAATTGTAGAGAGAATTTATAACTGTGGGTGTAGGACTCATTGCCTTAAGTAACAGTGTAGAAATAAATTTAACCAAATATTTAATTAACACAGAAGAAAGGAGGAAAAGAAAAACAGCAACAAAAACTAGATAAATAGAAAACAAAGAACGAAATGGCAGATCCAAATCCAACCATATCTAAATTCTACTAATTATAAATAAGCTGATACTCTAATTAAAGAGATTGAAAACTGAATAAAAAGGCAAGATCCAAATGTATACATTCTTCAAGAGATGCACTTCAATCAAACCACATGATGAGATGTCATCACCTTGGAAAAGGTATTCTGGTAGGGGGTGGGGACAGGGCTTGGCAACTAAGGGACAAGTATCACAGTTGAGCAGCTTTCTCTGGAAGTCGCAATAGGAATTTAGATTCAGCCAAGGGGCAAGAAATGTTTTCAGAAGGCTCAGTTAGTAAATACGTTAGGTCTTGTTGACCATATGTTCCGTATCGTGAATACTTTACTGTCATAGCACAAAGCAGCCACATATAACAAGTAACGGAATGGGTGCATCAGATTTTATTTACAGAACTGGGCAGCGGGCCAGATTGGTCACAGCTGTCATAATTTGCAAATCTTTGGATTAAGCTGAAGAATTCATAAACGACCAAAATAGACTATCAAAGGAAACTGGGCAATACTTGAAAATGAGATCATCTCGATGTTGGCCTATTTGACAACAGAGGAGTAGACAATCTATTTCATAAAGTTCCTTCTAGTCTTTCGACAAACAGAGGAGAGGTCCTCTCACAGAGTTGTCTTTCTATAATGGCAACGTAGTATCAAAGAAAGGACATGGGGCTCTGACAGGTCTAACAGGGTCTGACAGACCTGCTTCAAATCTTGAACCCCATGAGACCCAGCAGTGTAGTCTTGGGCAGGTCACTAAACCTCTCTGAGCTTTGATATTCCTGGGTGTCAAATAAGGCTTCTGATTACCTAGTGTGGTGTGAAAAACCACCCCAAACTTAGTGGCATTAAACCACCACCACTTTATTATGCTAAGGATTCAGAGAGGAGACAGCAGAGATAGCTTATCTTCGTTCCACATGTCTGAGGCCTCAGCTGGAAGACTCAACTGGCTAGAGGTGGTTGGATGTTTGGGGGCTAGAATTATCTAGAGTCTGGTCACTCATGTGGTTCCTGCACAGAGACGACTCAAGAACTGGGTTCAGCTGGTGCACCTACATGTGGCCCCTCCATGTGGCTTGGGCTTCTCATAGCAGGGCAGCTGAGCTCCGAAGGAGTGTTAGAGGTGAGTGTGCCAAGCAAGAGAAAGCCACATGACCTTACATGGCCAAGCCTTGGAAGTCTCATGGCATCACTTCTACCATAGCCTATTAGTCAAACGGTCACAGACCCACCTGGATTCAATCCGTATCTGAGCGGACACAGATTCTACCATCTGAAGGGAAGACAGTCAAGGAATTTGTGGTTATTTTTTTTTTAAGTGATCACAAAGGTAATACCCCTTCCTTGCAGGTTTGCTGTGAAGACTAGGATGATAAATACAATGCTGATGCTGGGTCTACCATAAAATGGCAGCTCTTATGTTACTATTGCTATATATTAACAGTGTACGATTTCAGTCCACAATCTGGCTGGACTAAACTGTTCTGGGACTTTTCATTCTGACTATTAGAATTTCCAATGTGGCATCTAAGCATGAGATGTTCAGAATCTTTTTGTCTTAGGTCAGGCGCCCCAGAGGCAGACTCTGAGACAATCTTCACGTGCAAGTGATTTATTAGCAAGAGCTTAAAAGGCTGAAGAGTAAGAAACTATAGAAAGCAGAGCAGGAAAGAGAAAGGAACCAGGCAAGATGCAGTTTCAGCAAAGTCCATGGAGGGTTCCATCAGCCTGATACCGTGGACACTTGTGGAGTGGAAATTTCATCTCACCCACCTTTCCCATCCTGGGTTCTGCAATCAAGGCCCGGAATTCAGGGTTGTTCTGAGCATAACACCTGAGGTGAGCAGAGATGTGATCCAGCTGTCTTCTCCAGTACCCTAAGAAGAGAAACCCAGCCATCTGGATGATTCTCCTGAGGCTAAGAAAGAAAAATGCTAGCATGGAACATATGTTCTCAGAGAGGTTAATTTCCCTTGTCGAACTTTGTGATGGACTTTCCTTACTGAACTTCAACTATGTCCTAGAACAAGTTCCATTTCCCGCCCCCAGCTTCTTGCTACATGTGATTAATCATAGAATATCGCAGAATCTCAAAAGAGGCTGGGCGCATTGCCTCACGCCTATAATACTAACACTTTGGGATACCGAGGCAGATGGATCACTTGAGGTCAAAAGTTCGAGACCAGCCTGGCCATCATGGTGAAACCCTGTTTCTGCTAATAATACAAAAATTAGCTGGGCATGGTGGCATGCACCTGTAGTCCCAGCTAGGAGGAGGTTGCAATGAGCCAAGATTGTGCCACTGTACTCTAGCCTGGGTGACAGACCAACACATCTCAACAAAAAAGAATTTCAAAAGAATATATTTTGATTGCCACACATGCGGTCTTTTCTTTTTCTGTGATTCTATACCACCTATAATAACTTACCTAATGTTTTATTTTATTTTATTCTATTTTGAGATGGGATCTCACTCTGTTGCCCAGGCCAGAGTGCAGTGGTGTGATCATGGTTTACCGTAACCTTGACCTCTCCGGGCTCAGATGATCCTCCCACCTTAGCCACCCAAGTAGCTGGAAATTCAAGCATGCACCACAATGCCTGGCTAGGGTTTATATTTTTTAGAGATGGAGTTTCACCATGTTGCCCAGGCTGGTCACAAACTTCTGAGCTCAAGTGATTTTCCTGCCTCGGCCTTCCAAAGTGCTAGGATTATAAGTGTGAGCCACCACACCCAGACCTTACACAATATTTTAAATGTACCGTTTGGGGCTTGCCAAATGTATACACCCCAATCAATATATAAAACATTTCCATCACTCCAAAAAGTTCTCTTGGGCCCCTTTCCAGTCTGCATAGGGTTTAAGACACATTTGAATTAGTTGACGCCTTTTAAAACTTGAGAGATTTCACATGAGTTTCATGCCTCGTTTCTCATGTCCAGGTGGAAAATGCAGGGGCACTGGGCTCACCTTCCCACACAGGCTGAACACCTGAGGCCAAAGAGAAGCTGGCTGCTTTGGACAGGGCACAGGCTCTCCAGCTGGCCACAGCCCCTGCTGTGCCCTGTGGCCACTTGACTCTGTAAACCCACATCGGATCCCACCTACCACATGAAGACACTAAGCTGAAAGCAATCAGAGAGTTTTTCCAAGGTCATGCAGCATGGTTCAGTGGAAAGAGCACATGATTTGGAGTTCAGACAAGCCGGCATTTAATTTCTAAATCTACCATTTATTAGCTAAGGGATGTTGAGCCAGATCCTTACATCTCCCTATGCCTTACTTTTCTTACCTAATAAAATGGAACTAATACCCCCTACCCCATGTGTCATTGTGACATTAAACAAAAGAACCTAAGTGTTCTTAGTTGGGTTTCCCTGAAAGCAGAACTGACATAAAGACTTAGGAAAGGTGGTTTCTTTGGAAGGTGACCGTGGGATATGCAAGTGATGGAGAATAAAGAGGAGGACAGGGAAGGGAAGGAAGAAAGAATGTGTTAAAAACTGGTTAATAGCTGGGTGCGGTGGCTCAAGCCTGTAATCCCAGCACTTTGGGAGGCCGAGGTGGGTGGATCATGAGGTCAAGAGGTCAAGACCATCCTGGTCAACATGGTGAAACCCCATCTCTACTAAAAATACAAAAAATTAGCTGGGCATGGTGGTGCATGCCTGTAATCCCAGCTACTCAGGAGGTTGAAGCAGGAGAACTGCCTGAACCCAGGAGGCGGAGGTTGTGGTGAGCTGAGATCGCGCCATTGCACTCCAGCCTGGGTAACAAGAGCGAAACTCCGTCTCAAAAAAAAAACAAAAAAACAGCAAACCCCATCACAACTATTTTAAGTCTCTAGAAATGGTTCTAAAGCTATATAGAAAATAAAAGTTTAATGAATGTATACCAAAACTCAGAATCATGAGTCTGTGGTATTTGAACCATGGCCCACTCCCTTCCACTCCTTCTCAACTGAGCATGATGGAAACTCCACTCCATATAGGTGCGGCCAAGAACACAGGGCTCCTTCTCCTCACATCTTCCGAGGAAGGTCAGGGACTTTAGTATTTCTCATCCTGTCCCAATTGCCCTTTGTACAGGCTAAGTTCCAGACAAATGTCAAGAGGCTGGGGCTCGCTTTCTCTGCCCGGATCTGGGACACTGGGAATGCTGGGGTCCAGACCACCTATTCCTGGCTCATTCAGCACAAGTCCAATGTTGAAAGAAGCAAGTCATGAAGAACAAAGGCTACAGCTGCACCCTGCTCTGCTGCTTACCCAGCCCCTAAAGCAATGGTGCCCCATTGAAAAAAGTATGCCACTGTCGCCATCCAAAGCATGGGTTCAGAGATTTTGCCCAGGGGAAGAGGCAGGTCAAAAACCAGAGGTCAGAATCTCTCCCCAAAGGAACAGACTTCATTTGCAACAGAGTGTGGGAAAGTTCAAGCCTAAGGCTGCTTTCAAAACAATAGAGGTTGTGTTAAAAAGCAATGAAAAGACTAGAAGATTCACTAGAGATATGAGCTAAATAGGCTGGCCAGTTTACCTCAAAGGACCAGGGAACTCAACAGCTAAGAAGAGCCCTTCTGAAATACGAAAAATAGTCAAACACTGACCTAAAAAACTATCTCTATAAAGTAAGCTTGTCCAACTCAACAGCCCACGGGCCATATGTGGCCCAGGATGACTTTGAATGCAGCCCAACACAGATTTGTAAACTAACTTTCCTTCCTTCCCTCCTTCCTTCCTTCCTCACAGATTTGTAATCCACCCTTCCCTCCCTCCCTCCCTCCCTCCCTCCCTCCCTCCCTCCCTCCCTCCTTCCTTCCTTCCTTCCTTCCTTCCTTCCTTCCTTCCTTCCTTCCTTTCCTTCCTTCCTTCCTTCCTGACATATTCTCACTCTGTTGCCCAGGCAGGAGCAGTGACACTATTTTGGCTCACTGCAACCTCCGCCTCCTGGGTTCAAATGATTCTCTTCCCTCAGCCTCCCAAGTAGCTGGGGATTATAGGTGCCTGCTACCATGCCTGGCTAATTTTTGTATTTCTAGTAGAGATGGGGTTTTGCCATGTTGGCCAGGGTGGTCTCGAATTCCTGACCTCAGTGATCCACCCACCTTAGCCTCCCAAAGTGCTGGGATTACAGGTTTGAGCCACAGTGCCCACCACAGATTCGTAAACTTTCTTAGAACATTATGAGTTTTTGTTTTCTTTCTTTCTTTTTTTTTTTTTTAGCTCATCAGCTATCTAAGCATTAGTGAATTTTATGTGTGACCCAAGATAATTTTTCCAGCGTGGCCCAGGGAAACCAAAAGATTAAACACCCCTGCTGTAAAGAATGCCAAATTTAATTAAACCCATCTGTGAAGCAATTTATGGCCCAGGTCATGGTTGAAAACAATAGAGAAATCATCCAACAATAAGTAGAGCTTAATGGCTAGGTGTGGTCAGGAAAGAGACAAAGAGAGACCCACCAAACCACCATAATCCTATGGCGGTGACAGGGAGCACGCCAAGGTTACACTGTCCATGGAGGAACATCAGAAGCTCCACACTGCAGGGGTAAAACAGAGTTCGCTAAAATGATCCAGTTAGTCACTAAACAAACACACAAACAAATAACAATAACAAGCCTGGAAGATAGGTCAGTACCCAGAGTTGATACAATATGTTATCTAACACATCCAGTTTCCAACAAAAAAATCTTGAGACATGCAAAGATACAGGAAACTCTGACTAAAACACAGGGAAAAAAACATCCAACAGAAACTGCCTGTGATAGCAACTAGATGTTGATGAATTTAAGACTTCAGAGCAGCCATTATAAATATGCTCAAGGAACTAAAGGAAATCATGCTTAAAAAAAAAAGAGCTGGGAGTGGTGGAATGCACCTGTAGTCCCTGCAACTTGAGAGCCTGAGGCTAAAGGATCACTTGAGGCCAAGAGTTGGAGGCTGCAGTCAGTTATAATTGCACCACTGCACTCCAGCGTGGGTGACAGAGCAAGGCCCTGCCTCTTAAAAAAAAAAAGTAGCAGAAAAAATTATGATGCACTTCAGGAGGCTGAGGTGGGAGGCCTGCTTGAGGCCAGGAGTTTGAGACCACCTGGGCAACATAGCGAGACCCCATCTCTACAAAAAAAATTAAAAATTAGCCAAGCATGATGGCATACACCTCTAGTCCCAGTTACCTGGGAGGCTGATGTGGGAGCATTGCTCAAGCCCAGGAGTTTGAGATTGCAGTGAGCTATGATTTATATCATTGCACTACAGCCTGGGTAATGGAGCAAGACTCTGCTTATAAAAAATAAAAATAAAAAAAGGAGTAAGAAGTATTCCTGAAAAAGAGAATATAAACATATTAAAGAAAAACCAAATAAGAACAGGTAGCAGAAAAGTACAATAACTAAAATAGATAATTCACAAGAGGGGCTCAGCTGTAAATGTGAACTAGCATCAGAAAGAATAAGCAAACTGAAAAATAGGTCAATAGATATTATACAATATAAAAAGAGAGAAAGGAATGAAAAAATAAACAGAGCCTAAGAGACCCATGGGAAGCTATCAAGCATGCCAACATTTACATAATGAGAATCTGAGAAGAAAAGGAGACAGAGAAATGGGGCAGAAAAAAATATTTGAAGAGATAATTGCCAAATGCTTCCTAAATTTGATAAAAGACATGAATTTACACATCCAAGAAGCTCAATTCGTCCCCGCTACTGGAACACCAATTTTAACAACTATCTGCACACAGAAAAGCACCATCACATGAACCAAAAATCAGGTAAGCAATCACAGTACCTGGTTTTAACTTCATATTGTGGAAGGAGGCATTAAGAAGGGCAGGAGAGACAGTCTTGAATCACTGATACCATCCTTCCCCAAGCCC